AGAGAGAGAGAGAGAGAGCGAGCCAGAGAAGGAGAGGGAGAGGGGGGGGATGGAAGGAGCTGTATGGGGCCGTGATATTCTCTCCTCCTGGATGCTGCCTTTCCTCTTCATGGCTTTGTCCCCCCTTTGTACGGTCACCCTGTGTCCCCAGGAGCAGGCACGGCTAAGCGGACCAGCACTCAGCCACGGAGCCGGGGATGAATCAGCCCCAACAAAGAGCCTTTGAGATGGCAGTGTGTGCTTCTGCCTGGAGGGAGGAACGCATCAGGCTTTCCCAGGCAAGCGGCAGCCTGCAGTGTGCGCTTGCTTGAGAGCCAGCCCTCCTCGTCGTGGTGTGTATGAGAGAGAGCGTGTATGTCCGTGTGTGAGTGCATGTGTGTGTGAATGTGAGTGAGCGGTGTACAATAGTGTATGTGAGCGTGTGTGTGCGCACTCCTGGCTTCCAATCCTTCCTGGAGGAGAGAGGCTCTCCTCTTCACTAGACGGCAAGGTAAGGGGGATGACCGATTTTTTCCCCCCCTCTTCTAACAATGATTTATCCCTACCAGAGCCATGTTTCTGCTCTCCACGGTGAGGAGAGTGGGGTAAAGAGGGTGTTGGGGGGGGGGGGGGGGGAGAAGCTTAACGTCATTGATAAAGAGCTGTCTAGTGTATACCGTCGGTGGGCATCAGCCGTGGTGGAGGGAGAGAAGAAGGAGGTGGAGAGGCTGTGAGCAGAATGCAGTGCAGCCAGGTGCTGATGTGGGGGAGACAGGGAGAAAAAGGGAAGACAACAGAGGGGTGCTGGATGTATTCAGTGATGAACTGACTGCATCTCAAATAAGGAGCCTTCACCTTCTGCTCACCCCCCCTCCTCAAAATCCCCACATCCCCCCTGTCGGTGTCTCTGTCGCTTCTGTCCTCAACCGCTATTTCAAGGAACAATCCCTAAAATGTCTTTCTCGAGATGGATCACACTTGACAAATACAGACTGTGCCATTGCCATGGGCACTGTGGACAGAGGCTTCCTGTTTTACCATTGTGTAGTTAGTGTGTGTGTGTGTGTAGGCTGAGTTCTGAGGTGATCTTTCTGGTTCATGAGGATTCAAGTAGAGGGATGCTGTGGGAAAACAGGCACAGGAGAGGAGACTGACATGTGACATGTTTTTGTTAGCAACGTTTACTTTCAATCGGTAAATGTAATCATTAGCAAACCTGTTGTACGAGAGCTTG